CCTCATTGGCCGCTTTGAGCCGTTGCTGCGATACGTCAACGCGTCCGCCATGTTTGTGAGGGCGAGACTGCCTTAAAAATAAATGGAGGTAAACGGGGGAGCTGCGTTTTTTTCTGGATAAAAACACGATAACGTTTACATTTATCAACCGATTTCAGAGGTTTGTGATCTACATGGAGTAAAAAATAACTCTGCCTCCAGTTATTTAGTTAGGTTTGGAAAATTATTAATTTTCGTAAGAAATTGTGAAAGATCACACTTGTCTCACTTGTTGATTTGATAGATTTTTTCGGTTTACAATTCTAATGTTAATGTAGTATAACTGTGACATATACATGTTTTGTAATTTGATTAATATTAATTATGATTATATAATAATATTATTATATTATGTATACGGATAAAACAGTGGAAACTACTTCTTCTTCTTCTTTGGATTTTTTTGGCGTATTCCGCACCATATTCCTTTGCTTTATTTATTTATTTATTTATTTAACTATCAAATTCGTTTATTTAATCCTGTTTCTACTATATATTCCATTACTATTCTTTGATTACTACCTTCTCTTAATCCTTTTCCTAATATCCAATTTATCTTCTTTTTTTCTTTATTATTACCATTTAAGTTCTTTATCATTTTAATTCTCTCTATATTATATTTCCGACATTTTAATATTACATGTTCAACGGTTTCTATTACCCCACAAAAAGCACATTTACCTGTAATATGTTTACCTATTTTGTATAGTGATGCATTTAGTCCTGTGTGCCCAAATTGTAATCTATTTAAAATCACCTCATCTTTCCTACATCTTCCAAAATTGTATACTTCAGTGGAAACTATTTTTTTTTAATATAATATAAATTAAATATATAATTGTACGAAAAAATATACATAACGTTAAAGGAAATGATAGTGCTGCCCTGGCGATTTTCTTATAATTACAATAAAGGTACGGCCAAGCATATTGAATGATGCATGAAATGCCGTATGCATTGTCGCCACTAGATGGCAATATTATCTTGGTAGTATGCTGTTATTGTGTTTGACGCATCAGCAAATATACATTTGTAAAGGCTTGTGGGAGGCGTGCTTTTGAAAGACAGCATGTTTATGGGAGATAAACACAATTGTACTAATAAACATATATTTATTATGATGAAACAGCTACTATTCTAACAAAAAAACCTTTTGTGAAAAAAGGGTGTATACACTGGACTAACTAAACCTTTGAGTATTTGAGGATAATACTGTTTAATGATAAAGTAAAAGATGTTGTGGTTTTACATGGCATGTATTCAGCTAAAAGTGTTAGAGAGATATCATTTAGATATGGATTATTCCTGTATTTTTGTTCAACAGAAAAAAAGAGTTAAAATTAATTGTGTACACAAGGATTTTTTGAGTGGATATGAAAGATTAGAAGGATTTTTAGATTTTATAGATTCAAGATGGATGATTTTTATGTATCATTCCAATAAAAACAAATGTGACACTTTTATTTTTCTCATACACCTTTTTGTTGTTTTGGGAATTAAATTAAATTTATTTATTGCAAGAGACCAAAGCACCTGTTTGGAGAACATTGTCAATAAAAAAAGAAAAGAAAATTTTTTTTCAAAATTTTTCATGGAGTTTTTTTTTAATTATTATTAATGAATGAATGGTTGTTATATACACTCGAGTTTGTTTCAAAATGTAGGATTGATATGACCACAGAATGTGAGGGAAATAAAGGTGGATGGGTCTATTAAATGTGTTATCGAGTCATATTGAACAACATTCGTTTGTAATCGATTACTCTACTTGCCACTACTATTGACTAGGTCAGCCATTACAGGAGCCAGGAAAAGTAATCGAGCAAGGATCGCATTTTGTCTGGGAGAGAAACGCTGTCAAAATGCCTCTTGGTCGGTTATTTTTGAGGACTTCAACTGTCAATAAGAGTGAGTACGAAAATGCAAATTATGCTGGGCGTACATTATAGTCTAAGTACATTTCCTCTGTTCATTTGTTTTATTCGCCTTATGGAGGTTAGCAAAGCAGTGTGGTCTGACCTTGCTTAGCTTAGCAAGACTAACAACACAGCAGCTGAGCCAATACATGAATTTAATCGCATGATGAAATATTTATATAAGTAGGATTAATCAGGAGAATTTAGGTTGCTTTTTTATGTGTATATATATATATATATATGTGTGTGTGTGTGTGTGTGTGTGTGTGTGTGTGTGTATATTAGTTGCTTATTAGTGCTTTACACTCCAGTCCAGTTGGTGGCGGTAAATGCACCAGAAGTTGGTTTGCCATCCGCCATAAAACGTTATTAGAAGAAGAAGAATTATTTATATAAGCAATAAATTGCACAAATTTTATAATTAGCCATATAATTAGCAAATTATTTTATAATGTCCATATATTATGTTTTAATTGCTATTTTCAGTTGTTTGTGAATTACAACAAAGGACAATGCAAATGTATATTTTTTGATATCTTGTTGTTACATTAATGCGCATTACATCTAACAAAATGAAAATATTGTGCATAATAACGTTTTAAATATTTGGAAAACTGCCACCAGTGTGTTTTATATTAGTGCAGCTGGTTAATAAATCAATTCATATACAAACTAGCAAGTTAAAAGTTAGGTACCAAAACTGTCCACTAAACCAGACATTGTGTTAAATATAAAAAGTTTTGAGGATTGCTTTTCTCTCTCCTTTTAGTGGTTAGCAGAAATTCCTTTATAGCTTCTAAACCGGATCCCTCCAAGCCAAACATGCTGAGAGTAGGACTAGCATTTGGGAGCACAGCTGTCTTGTGGGCATTGGTAACTCATTTTGAATGATCTCTCAAACATACGCACAAACAAACTTTTTTGATTCTTCTAAACACACTCTCTGTTCCCCACCAGCTGTTTAAACAGCACAGCACTGATGTGCATGAGTACAAAACAAGGAATGGGTTAGAGTAATTCATGAGGCCATGTAAGTAAAACCATTAATTCTCTCTAAAAACTCTTTATTCAGTGTTAATGTAATTTGTAAATTTTGATGCCATGCTACTGATGTAATAGTATCTCTTTTTTCCCTTTGTAGGGCAGCAATTGCTCTGTGCTTTGTGGATCTTCTTTTGTGGATCTGTTTTTCCTGTTTCAGTGTTCATCTGCTTGTACAATAATGTTTATTAAAGATGTGTATATATAACCTGCCTGTAGTCACTCTCTCTTGACTCCAGCAAACATGAGTTGCAGAGATATAAATATAAGTTAAATATATGGTTTAACTTTTTCCCCTTCAATTAAGTCTAATGATGTGATTTATAACCAAAACAATTACAGTATAATTCTTGTACTTTGTGTATGCTAATTAAGTAAATACCCATGGTTAATTCTTTCTACGGGATCAGACTTTTGAAAGCAACATTCAGTGACAACAAACAAGTCCTGTTCCAAGATTCAGTTTTTAATATTAAATAAGAGTCAGGTTAATGTGGTTAGGAAAAGCAAGTAGAAGATTTGAGTAAAAATATTGCCTTTGTACAGTGGAGAACACACGGACACAAAACAACAAGTATGTTGATGCTGGATTTTGGTGCCCCCCAAAGGGAGAAATCCCCCACGATTTTTGCATGCTTTGCATGGTGGGTAAACACACTACTGCTAATTAATTGGCCACAGAGCTCTGGAGATTGTCTTATTATTCACTGCAGCTTTTCAATACACAGCAAAACATACTATTAAACAGAATAGTATAATAAACATTCGACTGAAGCTAACAGTAGTTAGACATGTTACACAAAACACATGCAAAATTCTGGTAACGTTAGTGTTCAGTTATGAACCCTAGAAAACAACTATTAGAAAATGTTCTATATAGGTTCTTATTAGTTGTCACACCGCTGTGAATGTTAGTGGAACGTAAGAATTGGGATAAAAATAAACAGAACCATACAATAACATTAGGGAAATGTTCTGTTATTGCTGGTGCCACGATAAAGCGTGGCTAAAAAGACTGTTTGAGTAAATATAGATAGTTTTGCAATGTAAGTAGCATAAATTAAGCAAGCAATGTGGTTGGTAGCGTGCCACGGAATCCCAGCAGTGGGAGGATTCAGACACGCGCTTTCTCCTCCCCTCATGTTCACTCCTCCCCTCCAACTGTCTCTGCACTTTCAGTCATTCATTGCGCCTCCACTGGACTCGTCTCGCACGCTGCTTTCCTCCTGTGGCAGTTTGGACGATGTTTGCGTGCAGAGCAGCCTGGCACAGGTGTGGGCCTCTGGCGCGACAGTCCCTGTACCGCGCTCGGCTCAATAGAGATGGTGAGCACCAGTGTATCTGTCTCGTAAAGTTTCATTTTTTCCTGTAAATCATGTAATTTGCAGTGCGTTTTGGGCTTTAATTGTGATATTTCACGCTTTTCGACTATTGCTTACAATGAAAATGTGCTTGAGCGAGCTGTATCATAATATTTTACAAAAACTAAAAAAAATTTGGGCAGATGGCATGTGGTTTAGGGTTAAGGGGACATGAAGGTCAGTCTCAACATCGGATCCTATTGGTGCTCCACATTTTTAAATGGCTTTCGAGATACGTTTTTAGTGCCAGACAGAAGTTACACGCCTACTATACTAACACATGTTCGCATTGTCATTTGCGAGGAACACAATGTACACATCTCAAACAGCAGCCTGGCACCAAGCACACAAAAATGTAGCCATCTTGGGCACTGCAGATCTGCACTAATAATCATTTTGCAGAGATGTATTATTGAAAAAAAAACAAGAACAACACATTGACCATTCGTGTGCATTTGTGAACATTGCGAAAAGTTTGTTGTAGGCTCTTGAACTTGATTAGATTAATGATTGTTCTGTCAGATTCATTCCGGTCGTCACTAAATGGATTATGAAACACGAAATTGCGTAATAGGGAGTCAGTTGAAATTTGACATTTGGCATCATGGAGTAAGTACTCTGCTTGATTTGTGACCTTCAGTGTTCTAAGGGTGCCATAGTATGTTTCCACGTACAGCTCACGTGGTTGTTTACGTGGTCGAGCTATAGACGCCTGCGCGCGGACCTATGGCTGCTGTATGGCTAGCCGTTTACATTTAACCCTTAAATCTTACTCTATTTTCATGCTACTAGTACATATTTGTATGTATGATTTGCAAGACTATGTAAAATTCTACCTAATTATTATGTTTAATTCAATGTTACTTGCTGTTTCTTTGTAATTATATGTGAAATTTTCTAGCAATTCGGAGTGAAAAGTTTCACGGTAAATGCTATATTATTTTTTTCCAGCGTGATCCCTGTTGGGAAACCCTGGTTGTTTAAATAAACACGTAGACATTCTTGAAGTGAGACATTTGCCTGCCCTTAGGGCTGTACTTGATTGTATTGGTTAAATATATGTGAAAATCTAGGTTAGGATGTTTGTAATGCAGTTAATAAGAATATTATATGAAAATGTTGAAATAAACATAGATATAATCACACCGTCTGTCCTGTCCACTAAATATCTCCTCAAATAGCCATGAGCGGATGGGACGGTAGGCCTACACTTGTCAGATACCACTTGCTTAAAGCCTTTCATTGTAATTCTTGTTCGCTCAGCCGTTCCAGTATCAAGCTGTGATAAATCTCTTTGCGGAAGGAGATTTGCTGGTTAGTTGGGTTAAAAAGTTTATGGGTTTCAACAGACATGAGGTTGAGTAAATTACGTTGCAAATAGTGAACTTTTAATGTAGTTGTTAAAGTAAAAAAATATTATTGGACACTTAAACTTGTGGAATAAAATAAATATGACTGACTGCAAACAAAAAGGCATTTTTGGTAACTAAAAACATTGTTTTATTCATTAATTCATTGTTTTATGCTGCATCCACACCATTAGGTGTCAGTATAAGACCAAGACTATTGCCATATTGTGAATTTATTTATTTATTTTTGTAAATATTGTGTGAAATATGTTTACTTTCATCATTTATCTCTTATTTGCGGTTGTTAAATAGTATTATGTAAATATAGGAATTATATCAGCTATTGCCAAACTAAATTAAGTGTTGCGTTCCTGTGGCTCAGTGGTAGAGCAGCGCAGAAGGTCGTGGGTTTGATTCTCAGGGAACACACATACTGGTGAAAAATGTATAGCCTGGATGCACTGTAAGTCGCCTTGGATAAAAGCGTCTGCTAAATGCATAAATTATTATTATTATTAATTATAAATTAGATATTGTCATCAGCATCTGACATTGAAAAAGTTACATTGGTTCCTAGTAGTCTAACCGAGCATGTATCGCTTTCTGTTTGGTTCACCCTTTGACTCCTGTGAAAGATTAACAGATTAGCTGGTATAAATAACACAGAGGTGTCTAGAACCTATTTACTCTAGCTGGGCATGAGTGACTGGATTATCTTAATGAGAGTATTGAAGATACTCCTTAAAAAGTCTACAAAGTTTGTGTCAGAATGATCTTTGCCCTCCAGTCCTGAATGATTGGACTGCACTGATGGTTTTCTAAATTTAAGTTGCTCCCTGCCCTCTAACTTTTTTTTAGGACAAGGAACTGTCAGCACTAAGGAGAGGTTTTTGATAGTCATTGAAGCATAGAATATAAAATGAAATAATTGGTGATTATGTAAGAAAACAGACAAAATAATGCATATGCATAATTCTTTTTATGTATTGAGAAATAATTTACTGATATGTATACCATTAAATAAACACACAACTGTTGCAGTAAAACTTGTATATAGAGGGTTACAAACCTGAATTTTCTATTTTATTTTGAGTCCACTTAGTACTCCACATCCATAGTGTAAAATGCTGTTCACTTAAGATTACCTTCACCATATTTTTGAGTTATGGAAATAACACAATACATATCTAGATGAATGCTGACAGGAATATTTACAGGTACCTAAAACCATTGCCCAGAATCCAATCAGGCAGTGACCTACTGGGCAGAGAGCAGCTCTGGTTTGACTGCCATGAAAGTCAATCTGTGTCAGACACTTTGACTAAAACATTATTATAAAACATATTTTAAAGTTCTATTAAACTATTAACTTGATTCAATCTTGAAACTGAGAGAGGGAGAAAGGATATCTTACATTGTTGCCTCAACTAATAATGTGCACACATCCAAAATCTTGGTCTTACTCCTCTGTTCTCTATGCAGTAGTTCCACGGAGGCTCATGTCGTCAGTTCCTGGTGGCTCCGGTGAGAATTTCCTTTATGTCGTCCTCTGCGGTGGAGCCTTCGCCGGTGCCGTGGCATATGTAAGTCTGATTAAAGGGGTCATATGGTGCGATTTCAAATTTTCCTTTCTCTTTGAAGTGATACAAGCTCTTGGTGCATAAAGAAGATCTGTAAAGTTGCAAAGACTAAAGTCTCAAATCCAAAGAGATATTCTTTATAAAAGTTAAGAGTCAACCACGCCTACCTAAAACGCCTCGTTCTAACACGCCCCCACATATCTACGTCACTATGTGGAAATATTAGCATAATGCTGCCCAAATGTGCACGCAAAGAAAGAAGGCGTGGTTTCAGGAACAGCAGTAGTGTTGATGCAGCCATGTCAGGGAGACGCTGTGTGTTTCAGTGCGAAAGCAAAAGCACTTTATTTGGCCTTCCGGAAGTAGATGCAATTAAGATTTATTTACAACAGAACAGCACAACCCAGATGTTCGAATTTGTGCAACGCATTTTATGGATGACAGTTTTTTTGAACCTAGAAGAGTACAAGGCTGGCTGTGCACAAAGACTATTTCTTAAAAAAAAAAAAGAAAAAGGGTAAATTCCGGCTTTGCTATGACAATCTGGCACTTCTGAATCAGCGACTGTAAGTATGTTTTGTTATTAGTTTAAGTATTTGCTATTGACTGTTCAAATGCGGAGTTTTGCGCAGCGCTGAGTAACGCGTCGTGTGTGTGTGTGTGAGGGGAAGGAACAAGGTCACATCACAGGAGAGTTAACTGCCTGTCAGAAATCAAACATATTCTGTTACACCAAATACACAAAATAATGTTCTTTAAAAAAGCATCATATGACCCCTTTAAAACTCAAACCATTGATGATATAGTTTGATGTCAGATCACTTGTTGAATGAATTAATGTCTTTATTGAATTGTCTGATAGGCTTACAGAACAGTTGCAACAGACCACGCACGTTTTGTTGATCGTGTTTCTGAAATTGATGCTCGTCCCAAGTCTGACTGGAAACCCAAACCATCGCCACCCAAGAGTAAGTCTCACCTATGGTCTGGTTAAACATCAGATATTATTGCTGTAATTTAGTCAGTGTCACTTTTGGGATTCAGGTTTTCCTATGGCCTGTTAAAACTAGGATGCAAGAGCAGAAACCATTTACCTGGCTACAGGAAGTTGAATACTAGCATAGCTGTCTCAAGATGAAAGATACGGGCATAAGGTCATATACAGATAATCTTGTTGGACATATGTAATGAAAACAATGCTATTCACACAGCGCTGGTAGTAGTAACCCTGTGAATTTCATTCTCAGTGGCATCAGGAATGCTGATCTAAATTGTCAGCTTATGTCTGTATCCAAAAATATGAGATCTAATAAATAAATAATACATTGCAGCCCTTCGAGTTGGGGTATGTGGAAGACATTTGGCACCCTCTCACATTTATCTTGTGGTCGGAACAATAATGTTAGACAGCTGAAATTTGCCCTCTTAGTTCACCGTCACAGTCCTGCCAAATCCACTTCCACCACATTAAATAACTGTATCAAATCCAAGCGTGTCCAACACTCCAGCATCTGAGCCAAACATTATTAAACTGCCTTATCTAAATGACAGCAGCATTAAAAAGCGCTCTCATTCAAGTATAATAAATAAGGGGATATTATGTGTTGTAATGCGGTCTGATATGAGTGAGTGACTGCTGACAAAGTTTTATACAGCCGCTTCAGGGTTCATTGACATTTCAGATTACAATGTGCCATCATTTAATTTTTTTGTTTTGTTTGTTTGTTTTTTTAGGTGAGGAGAATGGCAATGGTGAGTTCATGTGTGATCTTTTTATGTCATAATATCTCCATGATGTACCATAAATAACTTTATTATGATATTTAAATGGAAAAATTACAGTTCTGTCTTTTAAATGTTTGTGTAACACATCTGTTTGCCTCAAAACAAATAGGATCCATTTAGTGAAGTTTACTAAAACTAACTTGTGCTTTAACTTGCATGGTCTGAACTGCTGCATGACAAGTATTTTTGAGAGTTATTACTGGAACTGTATTATAGCCTTGATTTCTGAAAATAAAAGGTTAACTAAATGATGACGCCCCCTACTTTTCAGTCTCCTCCCATTTAGTCGATCCTGATACCTTATTGGCTGCAAAACACCGGACAAAGATTATATTCTTGGCACATAGGTTATGACCTGTTCTGATTAATATTTGCTATATGCCAAGTAGGATCAACTTAAGTTTTGCAAATATCCTGTAATGACACTACAGTGGGCAGATATTGCTAGAATAATGGCTAAACTGCAATGCCAAAGAGCCTAGATCTTCCACAGACTGAAGCCGAAAAGTAAGCTAAACAAGACTGATTTTGATGAAACAATGCATTTTTATGGCATTTTTTGTCTTGGTGTTATTTGCGCTACAGCATTCCTGTAGAGTGTGGTACTTACAATGCCAAGTTCATGGGTTCAATTCCTGGGGAAAGTATGATCTGATAAAATGGATACCTTGAATGCAATCACTTTGGATTAAGGCATCTGCCAAATGCATAAATGTATGAGTGGATTAAAGAGTTGTTCTCATGTCACCCTTCTAACTCACCTAATCCCCTGATCCTATTTGTTGGAAAGCCCGTTAATCAGAACTGGGTGGCTTTCTCTTTGACACTGTGTCACTTTCCTCTTGAATAAGCTGTGTATATGATCCATCTGCACCCCTGTGCACTCCCATTTTCTCTCACAACACTTTTTCCCATCTTACTTACCTGTGCTCCTATTTTAATGACTAGAATTTTTTAACCGATGGGACCAGATTGTTTATACCCGCTGTATAATTGTTCGTGACACACAAGTTTTTAATACTAGAGGAAGATCCTCCAACATGTTTATTAGATTGTGCTGGTTTTAACTCATTGAGAATTTTTTTTTATTCCGTTAACTCTTTTGAAGAGATTTTTAACAGAGTTAAGCCAAATACAGTTATGGAAAACTAATAAAAACATTATATAATTCAGCCATAATATTTCTCGCCATGAAAATAGCCATAGAAGCTGGAATGGCGTTAAACACAAACAAACAAACATTATACTGTGGTCTTTCAAATACCAAAACAGAATATTAAACAACGAACTCAAAGCTTCACCTAATCTTTTTCCTAACTTTCCTAATTGTCTCTTTGCTCTGACTCTTTCCAGAGTAAACTAATTCGGACAGTCTGGGCTGGTCACCTATAGTCTTCAGTCAGAACTTTTTGGATGATTCTCTTCTGAGCTAAAGTCGTTATGAGTACTGCTTTTTCCATTGAACTGATATTTTTCATTCCATTGATTTTTAAACCCTTATTTAAAATGTTAATTGTGGTGTAATACAGTAGAAATTGAAAGACTGCTTCCCTGTGAGTTAACTAATTAAATACGCACACAACAAATCCCCTTTGGTTGTTTTTCTGTGTTGCTGGAATTCACAGAGTTGCTGGTACTGCTAACTTTGAACAGATGGTAAGGCTCAACCATCTTTGTATTCCCTCTCCACCTGTCCTCCCAGCCCCTTTCTTCCTGTTGTTTCTGTTCAGTTTCTCTTTTTATTCTCCCTCCTCATTCTTGGGTTTTGCATGCTGCCTGCAGTGATTGGGTTGTGTGTGATTTTGACAAAGCTAGATTTATATTCCCCGTTTAGCCATTTATTGGGGGTTCCAGGAGATTTGATAAGATGGATGTGTGCGAGGCATTTTGAAAGGCATGGTGGCAAATGTAAACATTTGACTGTGTATATGGATGTTCTTAACTGCACTGATGTTCTTAGGTAACTAGCATAAATTAAATTCAGTTAAATGAATACTACTATAATATATTATACTTCAACTAAATAATTAAATTATCATTACTATTTATATAATGAAAATAATTATTTGAGTAATAATTACTTTTCTTACATTTACTAAAATCATTATAAAGTATCAGTATATAGTTTATTATATTATTATATATTATTTGCAGTTAGTACAGTTCTCAAAAGATTGTTAATTTATGAATATTAGGAAAGTAAAATTATAGATATTGGTGATTATATTACCACCTTACAAAAACTGTCAATAAATGTCTAGGTATCATTACACTCCTGAATTAAAAGTTATATTTTGCAAGATCTATAATATTACTTCTCTGTATTTATAAATGAAAAATCTGTAAAAATTGAATTTCAATAATTGAAAGTAATTACTTATGAAAAATTACATTTGGATTTGTATAATTTTAGTAATGTAAGAGAATGTAATTGTAAAATGTAAAATGTAAATAAGAAAGTTATTATAAATGATGATAATTTTTATTTTATAAATAATAAATGATGGAAAAAATCTCTAATTTGTAAAAACATCATGGCAGTATAGATTGATCTAAATTAAATTAATTTATGACAGGATAATTTGAATTACTGCAGTGTACTGGTTTCTTTTTTTTGAGATTTTGATTGCAAAATATGCTTTTCAAAAAAAAATGTTTTCTTATTTTATAATCTTATAAAATAATCTTAGTCTTAAAATAGGTTTCATTTTCATTAGGCCAAATATAATTTCAACCCAGTCATTTCTATGTGAGATTCAAAAGTGAGTATGAGTGTGCTAAAAATGAAAACGTAGCTTGATGCCCAATTGTTCTTTCTTCTGTTGTCTGTTTAGAAGAAGCTAGTGCAGAGGAAGGAGAGGTGGCAGAAACTGTAGAGAGCACAGCCGAGGAGGATGTTCCTGCTGAGGCACCTGAGGTCTTGCTGGAAACAGCCGAGGCCACCAGAGGGAAGGTGGGAACTCTCGAGACCGTTGTGGAAAAGGTTGCCGAGACGGTTGCAGAGACTGCAGAGGTGGTTGCTGAGGTGGCGGGGGTTCTTCATGAAACCACAGAGGAGGTGGCAGCAGTGGCAGAAGAAGTGCAGAAGGTAGCAGAGGAAGTAGAAGCAGCAGCAGAGGCTGTCGTAACTCCTGTTATCCAAGCTGAAGAGCCGGCGTCAGAGAGCAACGGTATGCCACCAGCCCCCCAAGCGGAGGCAGTAGCAGAGGCTACTAGTACAGAGTCCTAAATGGCTCATGGGTACTCAAACACTCACCCACACACACACACACACAAGATACGGAAGACTCAAATGTCCTATACAGCAAAATGGTCACTGTCTCACTTTATCCAAACATGTTACCGTTACATCCAAAAAAGAACACAACATGGTACTTGAACAAAATTAAGAGAGATTTTATTGCTCAAATACTGCAGGTCTTCCTCATTTTTCCTCTCTCGGAAGTAGATTCTTTAGTCACAAACTGAAGTTTTAAGGTGCTCAGAGAAACATTAACTAAATGACAGTGTATGTGATTAACTGTATAGTCTTCATCATACTGTACCTCCTCTTTTTGCATCGATGTGTTATACAACAGGATTTGATGCTTGAGTTGCAATAATGTCATCCCACTGTATAGCACACAGCTTATTGTGTATATTTTTATTCTATTCCTGGATTTTGCTGGAAATATTTGAAAATTATATAAATTATAACTTGAACAAAATAATTTTTTTCAAGTATTGATAACGGTAGGTAGAAACCACTGTGAGAATCCAAAGTTGCTGCTTTTTGTTACATGTGACCAAACATTCCAATGGACACACTTCAGACCATCTACTCCTGTTCTCCTTCTTACTCTTAGCTTCACTCTCAATCTTCTCACAAATCTGAGCCAGCCTTCTGTCATTCTGTCAGCCTTCTATCCTGCCTTATCTGCTATTTGAGGCACAAAAAACAAATGTACTGCTGTGTGTAGTTTTTTGTTGTTTTGTAATAACAGTAACAGTTCAGTCGAAAACGTGCTTCTCTGCCAGATATCACTTAGTTGGTATACGCCAGTTAAAATTGTGAAAACTGTGAGTGTTTTGCTCCCTAGCAACTTGGCCAGATGTGTTTCTGTATTAGTTTTCCCTTTATATTCCTCTGTGTGACTGAACTGACAAGGAACTCAGTAACCTACCGAGAAGGTCATGTGTTGTGTGATTAATGAAACTGCTCATTTATTTGGAAATTGCAATCGTGTAATAAAAGTGGATAAGGGATTCAAAGCCAATTAATCAAATTAAATTGATAAATATCAGAAATATTCTGTTTAATTTTTTTCTGAAAACATTCTGCTTTTACAAACTGAAATATAACATCTTTAACACAAGTTCATCCTCTGTTTTAAAAGTAATGTTTTAAAATGCTGCATTTAGTGTAAAGGTCCTTGTTGTACATTATAACCTATAATATCATCTCTACATAAAGAGTTGTTTTATTTCTTAACTTTTGCTGTAGTTATACTTGTGGTGTGCCCCTTTCTAAGTGATATTTGGCAGTAAAGCCCCTTAATGTATGTTCTGAATGATGGGAAACCCCTAAATGGAGCTGCATGCTGTGATCATGCATAATGATACTCGCTGAAAGTCTCTTACATTCTGTGAAATGCAAAGATAGACACCATAGATCATACCGGAATGCACTAAACTTTACTTAAGCTCTTTTCTTTGTTGTTAAAACTATCACTAATGTAGTGGGGATGAACCTCTGTACTCTACTTTTCGTAGTCTCATTTCTATCTTTCCTATTTTGTCTGTGTCTAGATTAATCTTTTGTTTTAAACTCCAGACACACACACCGAGAAATTACAATTTATAAACAATTTGAACTTAAAATTGACAGTTATAAAACCTTTAAATAAGTCATTTAATTCCTCAAACATCTAATGTCTGTTTTTTTTGTGTGTGATTATTGGGTGGCTTGATTATGTCTTGTAGGGTTGGTTAGCACACCAGCAGCAGAAACAGTAAAACTGGCTGCTGCCTCCGTGATCGAGGCTGTTCCTGTGGAGTCTGTATCCGTGGAAGATGTGTCAGTTGAAGCTCTACCAGAGATGCCCACTGAGGTTCCTACAACAGATCATTTGGAAAATGTACCAGTAACAGAGATGGCACCTGTTGCTCCAGTGATGGAGGAGGAACCAGCTTCTCTAGTAGCAGAAGAAGTAGCAGAGGCACCAGATGCCACTGTAATAGAAGAGCCTCCTGTAGCAGAGCAATTGTCCATTCCTCCAGTGACAGAAGTAATATCAGTTTCCCCTGTTGTAGATGAGCCTGTTGCTAGAGTGGTAGAAGAGTCTCCAGTAGCAGAGGAGACACCAGTTGATTCAGCAGCAGCAGAAGTATTTGTTGCTCCAGTGATTGAAGCAGCACTAGTTTCCCCAGTTGTAGAAGAACCAGCTGTTGCAGCGGTGGTAGAAGTGGCTCCAGTTGTAAAGGAGACACCAGTTGATTCTCCAGTATCCTCAGAAGAAGCATCTGATGTCCCTGTGATAGAAGAGGAAGTTTTAGTTGCCCCAGTGACAGAAGAGACATCTATTGCCCCAGAAGCAGAGGAGGTATCAGTTGCCCCAGTGATAGAAGAGATGCCTGTTGCCCCTGTGACAGAAGAGGCAGCCGTTTTCTTTGTAACTGAAGGCGCACCTGTTGTAGCAACTGAAGAACTTGAGGAAACACTTGCAGCCAAAGTAGCAGAAGAGGATATTTCAGTGGTTGAGGAAGTGAAGGCAGAAGAGGTGATTGCAGAAAGTGCAGTTGTGGAGGCTCCAGTAAGTATAGTTGAGGAACAAGCAGCAAGTCCAGTTGTGGAAGTTACAGAAAGTGTTGTTGAACCAGATGTTGCAAGCATAGTGGTCACTGAGGAAGTTGCTCCAGCTGAAACGTCAAGTGCACCTTTGGAAGAGCCCAAACGACACTACATACTGGTTGTCTTGGAGGGAGCTCCCAAAACAGAAAAGAAGCCAATGGTGCTCGGTGTATCACCCGTGACTGGCAAGATCATCCCAGCCCCTGATGATGGTGAAGAGCCATCGGGACAGGTAACAGGTAATCTGGTTTAACAATGCACTGCTGGTTAACTAGTTAAGAAAATAATGATGGGAGCAAATGTGGATTAACAGAATCATTGCTTGACAAATACTTGAAATTAGATTAATAGTGAATTAGCTAGAAGATGGTAAGATATATTAAGACAAAGGCGGGTGTATTCTCATGTAAATTCTTGACATACTTTATGACATTCTTTTTATTATATAAATGTTACTTTTTAATATTGTTCCTAGGGCAAGCACCGTATGCTTAAAGTGCAGATGTATTAACACCAACTAAAAAAGGTAACATCATATTATGAAAATCATGTTTTCTATGTTCATTTGTGTTTTACTAATATAATACATAATATATTTTCTAATAATAGTAATTGAAATTTGATATTTGTATCAAATGTAATGTTTGGAAATGTAAACATCTCTATTATAGTCTAATATATAATACTTTGATTTTTTTTTTTAAATATTAAAATAGAAACTTTATTGAGCACAAGAGACTTCTTTAAAAACATTAACCAATCTTACCGATCCAAACCTTTAAAAGGTAGTGTATATTGACATGATATTTTCATTCTTGTTTTGCATTTTCTCAGTTGGGAGCAGTCAGATGTCCTGGGATAGTAAACCGGTTCCCTGATAAACAATTAGTGATGTGCCTTCCCCATTTCCTTGAGCCCCTGGATTTCAGTAATCCTTACACTGGGCCCAGAATGCAGTTTCCTTCCGACTCAGCTCAAAATAATACTCTATTTCCACTGACATGCTCTCCACTGGAGAGTGGTTACTTCATGTGAACATTCACTTCACTCTGATGTGAGACAAAAGTTTCTTGAAAATTATAATATGCATGAAAAGCTGTGACCTATATTTATAGCCTTTTTAAATGGAACGCCACTCTTTTTGACTCAACTGCACATTGGAGCCTGTACTATAGTGAACCCTGCCTCAAACATCACATTATAGGACATGTCTTGGAATTGGCATGTCAATAGCTGCAACCAGCAGGGCTACAAATTTGCCACAAACACTGTCATACCTGCATGCTGGCCATCAGTTTTCTGGTTCTCCTCTGTCTTCAATCTATTTTTCATTTGCATTATTTATGAATTAGCACTATTATTATTTTTTGTACCTCTCTACCTCAGCTTGAAAAGACAGTGTTCTCCTTTTTCTAGTAACCAGTATTATAGTAACCAGCTGGCATTACCAATGGGACATGACTAGGTCAAAAAACAACTGACAAACCGATTACCTTTACCAATATAGTCAATACAACAATAAGCCATGTTACAAGTCACATTCCAGTATTCATTTCTAAAGCGAGTCTCTACAATGTTATCCAAAAGGCAGACCCCACTGCTGCACTCCTTTGCCTTTGTTTTGCTGTTCTCTCTTCTCTTGTGATTATAAAACTTGTTTGGCAAATACATAAATAAATTCCTTTGCTTGATGTGGCAAAAACAAGGTCCCCAAATCTGTTACGCTAACGTTACACTCTCGCTGATACTACAGTTTTGATGCTCATATGATTTGAGATTTTAGACTGGTAGACAGGCATATGTGGATCCACAAAGGAAATTAAGGTCAGATAAATAAAAATAATAATAATAAAATGTAAAAAAAAAAAAAAAAAGACCTAACAATTTTGTCTCTTTATTTCCTTCATATTTCAAAAGGGACCTTATAAGTGTTATAAGTAAGATTGCAACTACATTATGTGAATGTGAGGGAATAATGGGAAGTATGGTTCAGTAGAAATGGTGTGTCCACCGGTTCTTTTCTGTTTTTGTTTTAAGGGTTAGGGATGTAATACCCGTTCATGTGCTCTTATGAGGCTTCTCTTTCACTGTAGGCCCTAACTAGTTTTTTTTTTTTTTGACTGAATGTATGTCAAAGAAAAATAAAGAGTTAAAACACATTTTTGTGTGATCGTTTAATTATCAGGCGCTTCAGTGCAGATTTCTCTGTTAATAAGCTGCAATATTAGATTTGGGAATGACCTTATTTTGGTGATTTCAGGAGAAGCATTTTCAGGAAATTATTAGTAGAGATTTGTCTGAGGTTACGACTGTACAGATTGCGATTTCAATTATATTATTGTATATTTGAAATATAGCGAGGTGATGTACTACATTGTCTATATTATATCTGCCTGCTACCTCCCCCGGAAACATTTGCTAATTTAAATATATTATGATATTTATTGTGATAGTATTAAAAATAGTTTATGTCATGATCTCTATCCCATTATTTTTTGTTTATTGTGTTTTTAAATTGAGCTTGTTGAAATTTTAGCGCGCGCGCACCTGACAAGGGTGTATGTTACGTCAGTTACGGTTGCTGCGCAGTTCGTCAGTCAGATCCTCCAACGGGAGGCCCGAGACCAGCTACGCAAAACATTAGCTACTACACCAACGCAGCCTGTCAAAACTCATATCTCTTTATATTTTACATTGACCAAATAGACATATGTCTATCGCATGCATGCGTGCTCTTTATCAGCGAGCAGTTCGCGCAAGTTGACCCGCTTTAACATCAGTCTCATTAGCATGGTTAGCATGCTAACCTTATGACAGAGTGCACTCGACTGTCTTGAGGTGCACCAAACGACAAGAAATCATCACAAACGGTGAGAAATATCAGATATTTCTATGTATACATACATAAGAGGTTAAAGTTAATTAATTTAGCCATCATTAGAAAGAAGGCGGTTTGTTTTTAGCGCGGCTGTTTTAAGTTATACATCAAGCGTTTGTTTACCAATCTAATGATTCGTGGGTGTTTTTTTCTATATAACATTTCATTTGTTTCTCATTTGTTTTCTATTCATTGTTAATATTTCAAATTTGGCCACTCTTTGTTAAAAAAATCAGTTGATACAATATGTTATTGCAGGAGAATGGAGGCGCTATTTGTATGTCGGTAATATAACAGACCCCTAGTCAGGGTCTAGTATCAGTGTTTACATTTTGTTATGCTTGATGGAAAACCGTGATAAAGGGCAACACAGTAGAGGAAATTAAAAGCAAAGATGGGGCATGAAATGGGCACAACCCTTAGGGATTTTTCTTTTGAGAAAAAAACCTGAAACCGTGAATATGATTGGGCTGAGATCACTTTTGCCAACAGGATACAGGCCTCTTCCGTTTTCTTGTTTTGTTTCTGCGTGTGTGTGCATTTGTTTGCCTGAAGGTCTGCTTGTGCTCTTTATTAATATTAGATTATTTCCATGCCAACTGAAAAGACATCAGATGATATCCGTACCCTGTTGACCTAAGTAGTCACAAGATTTAGTACAAATGCCTTTGGGAGATTTTAATTCTTAAATAGTTTAATTAATTTACAATGATTTGTCTGAACAGTATGTTGAGGGGTATGGTTTAAAGATATTAATATTTTACACAGTGCACAGTGTTTTCCACACTGCATTTACCAATGACTGTTTTTATTTCTCAGGCTGTGACGTCACTCAAGGTCATCAGCAGGGGCGCAGTGGATAAGTGCGGTTCTGACACAGAGGAATGAGTCATGACCTCCGTGGTGATTGTAGATGGTGGAGGGAATATATTGGAGTATGTCGCTGGAGATGAGGAAGCTCAGCAGGTGAAGTCCGCATTTGTACAAAATACACCCTCTCATATTAGAATTGCAGCTTAACTAAAATCTACATTAAAAACATTTTAAGGAAACTCAAAGTGTTTGTTTTTTCCCAGGAGGTTTGTCCTGATGGGGTGGAGGCTGACGGAGAGAAGGCCTGCCCTGCAGTGATAGTGGAGCAGGTGAATAGTGCTGATGTGGAGCAGTGTTATGCTGCTCAGGTGTTAGTCTATGATGATCAGAATACCTACCTGGTGCAGGATGTGGCTGAGGAACAGGTTGTGGAGACTGAGTTGCAAGAGATGGCAGCAGGTAAGCAGTAATTCTCACAATTGTTAGAGGGCTGTATTTCCATGCAAGGAAAATGCTGTATTATGCGTTTGCTTGAGAGAGCAATCAGTGAGGTAGTCAAGTTGTAGCACTTGTTTTTTATGTGTGTAACTAAACAATAAACCTAATTCTGAAAACCCAGAAAAACATGACTGCATTGACTTGTTTGAATTACCATGTTTACCACTAAACATGATGGTGATTTTAGAGTCTTTTCCAAATATGCCCTGTATTTTTTAGAGGGCTTAATTTTCTTTTAAGAGCAGGAACAGCTAAACAGGGACATCTTGTGGCGTTTTTGTGGAAGTTATAAAAGATACACATTAGAAAAAAAGCTTCTTGACAGTATAATTTGTGTAGGATTAGTACAATTGAAACACATGGAAAAGGGTAAATAGGTTATGCAAACTTTAATCTGGATGGAAACGATGGTTTTGTATTATTTTTGTTCTGTATTTTGTTTGTATTATTTTGTTTTGTTCTCTGTGCTCAAACATGCGAAATACAACATTGACTGCTCAGAATTCTATTTACCTTTTAAAAACGCAGAAGGGAAGCTTATGTATAGTTGCATTGTCGTCTTTGTAACTGAAGACTGAGAGATATTGGTAATTATTTGTATCATTTTAGAGATTATTGATCGTTTTTATACAGCATGCAGCTGGTATGACTACTCAGTTTCACAGTGTTATCTAAACACCAGTTCGATTTACTCAAAGATAGTAAACAAAAAATACATCACTCGTCACATAAGTGTGTCACGTGATTTGAGGTAACGAGCACTGGGCTCCTGTTGAAGTGAAGGATGCAAAAGAAGCGTTTGACAACCAGGAAGTGAAGAGCAGCTGTCGTCAACCCGTGCGCCAAGTTTAAGTAATACGAAGTAATTTCTTGCTTTTTTTGTTGTAGCGACACTTTTATTCTGTGTTTTTAGAGTAATGTGTGCCATCGGTGTTGTGTATATTCAAAAGTGTTCGTTTACAGTCAGTTGGAGTTATGATTTGTTCTTCGCGGATTGATGCTGATTGTCGGAACCAGGAAGTGTGTTTGTTTTCTTTTTGCGTCTTAGCCACGCTGTCTGTTAAAGTGTTTATAACAGGGTTTACGGCTTAACAGGGGTTTGCGGTAGAGCTTGAGGGTTAACATGTTTTGTAGCCGCCGTTTAATTTTTGTTGGCTTTGATTGTTTGTTTAAATCAGCTAACGGTTCTGCTTTTTACTGATGTCTTTACACGAAGACAACAATTAACAAATTTGTTGCGATATATTTTGAAGGATAACGGGTGCGGGTTTGCTTTTTTACATTAAAAGCGTCATGTAAGAAATCTGAATTGGTTAGCTTTTGGTTTCATGAGACTTTGATGCAAAAAGCGTTGTAAACGTTTGGTTTTATAAACAAGTAACGTTTTGATTTATTGTATTTGATGCAGAGAACTATTCAAGCACTTTCGCTGGGTGCAGTATATCAAATATATGATTAAAAATACGCTTTTCGTTTTCGAAGTTTAGGGCGGAAGTATACTTACAGGCGTTATAGGTCGTTGAGTGACAGGACGCCTGGCCAATGAGCGCTTAGTATTGTTTTGTAAGATGCAGTGTAGCCAATGAACATCGAAATAAACTTTTTTTTTTTCTTTTACCGCCAATTTATTACTTTATGTACTGGAAAATATTTATGAACACAGAATGCTCTTTTAATCAAAAGCAAGCTCAATTTTGATTTCTTGAATCATTTTTTGGTCCTGTAACATCTGTTTTTACATTATAGTCTTAATAAACAGATAGCAAAAGGATTTTTGTTTTAGAACAGAGTATTTAAATGATTGTATATATGCAATTTGTTTGCTTGTTTTTATTGTGCAAGAAAAAAAAACAACTTTTTTCCCCTCTCTCTCTCTCTTAGTGGAGGTCTCTGTGTATGATAAAACTATTGAAGCAGCTGAAGCTCTGCTGCACATGGATTCACCGGCCAGCTTGCAGGGCGATCGCAGCACAGGTGAGATTTACATCTACACATGCACTGCATGCTGTAATACAGGCTAACCTAACAAATTACTACTACTTACTCAGTATATCACATTTGTGTGAAGAGTAAAAATAACAATAGATCTCAATCTGCAGAGGAGCTTTTTTCTGAGGTGGAGGTTGAAGTGAGAACAGAGGATATGGGACCCGTTGCCAAGGATATTGTTGTCCTGCAGGAGACCGATTTACTGAAGAAGAAAAAAAGAGGTGAACCACGCTTTACCCAATACCATGAACTACAGATATGTTTGTGTTGCGTTTATAATTTTGTTCAGTGTGTATATATATATATATTATTATTATTTTTATTTTTTTTATTATTATTTTTTGTTCTTTTCAATAAAATAATGGCGTTTTTTAAGAATTATCATCACATTAGGGTTCGTACGGTCATAAAAAACCTGGAAAAGTCATTGAACAGCAATTTCCAGGCCTAGAAAGTTTTGTAAAGTTTTTGAAAAGTAATGAAAATCTATTTCACAATTATCTGTATAATAGAATTATGTTTAATCAGATCCTGATAATTTATTTATTTCATATATAAATAAAACAAAAACACAGAATTTGGAAAGAAATAAAACAGAATTTCGGGTGGGGAAATGTATTTCATATGGCCCTATTGTGGTTAAAATTTTACATCTTAAAATCACACCCATCACAATGTTTTTTTGTTGTTTCCAGGACAGTGAGGTTTGCCATGCAGGTTCCTGTACTCATGACAACACGGGGTCAGAAAATCTCCACAGTAACTGTCAACTCTCCCATTGTCCGCTCGCCGATTCTCCCTGCGTCCAACTCCGTCGCTGGGGGTAACAGCGCAGGCAAAGTGGTTCTCCAGGCCGTGCCAACGCTAGTGCCTGCTCAGGGCCAAAGCGGTGAGAGGATCACCTTGCAGCTCATCACCCTTCCCACCATGCCTGGCAAACCCGGCACTCCCATCACTCTGAGTACACTCTCCCCAGTCACCGTGTCTACCAGCAACACCCAAGTCCTGAAGCTCGCCGTCCCCTCCAACATCTCCACGACCGCCTCCACAGCTCCTGTAACTGTGGTGACCTCGCAGCCAGGAGTGACTGTGGTGCCGAACGCACAGCCAGCGATGTCTTTACAGGATGTGACTATTATTAAGGTTGAAACTCCTGAGGTTTCCGTGGATCATACAGTTAACATGGCTGTGGAGAACACACCGAGCACAGAGATGAACCCCACGACCACACTGAGCTGAGCAAACATCAAATATCACTGCATTCACTCACTGGAACCGACATCAATGCTTGTGACACAGATGCAAATAAAACAAGTGATGTGAAGAGTGGCTGTCTCTTATTTGAAACGGATGAAACCAGCACTACAGCTCAGACGCTTGTTCACGCCCAACAATATAACCACCGTGTGTAGCCTGAGCCTGGGTTAGACTTTTCTTTTTTATTTCTTAAATTTATCTATTCAAATCACACTTTGTTATAGCATACCATCTGTGCTGTGATGCTGTAGGAACGAACCTCACTTGGTGCTAAAGACTGAGAGGAAGTCACATGGGTGAAGAGAAACAGCCAAGATTTTGATCACCTGGTAATTTGGAGCATAAAACAATCTGTGCATAGACACAATTGCGGTAGTTAATTATAATAAAACAAACAGCCTTAGGTCAGCTTTTTCCTCCTAAATCATTACTAAAAGTAACTGATTGTGCTTTGTGTAAATATGAGATTTTTTTTTTTTGGTATTTTGTACCAAAAAGTGTTTTTTTTTACAGTTCAAAGGAAACTTTTCTGAAGGACATTCAAATGTTTTTTTTTGTCATTTCAGACTTTTTAAATCATTTTCTTTCTGTGCATTTATCACTGATTTCTGTATCATGCATTCACTGCTTTGTATTTTGCAGATCATTTTTTTCACATGTACAAAAAAGGGAAAGAATGTCTGATACAGTATATTGAATATTCAATATATGATGCGTATATTTTGTTGTATTCTTACCCTAAAGTTGTATCCAAGTAGATTTAAATATAGAGAATTATGCAAACAACTGGTTCTTTTTTTTTTTTTTGTGGATAGAAATGACTCTTTTTAAATGTGAACTTAAAGATCTTTATCCATTCATTACTAAATGACACATGGGAAAATCATGGAGTGTAGGAAACCAGTCTTCATGGCGTGAATTTCAGTTCAATTTCTGTCCATTATGAAACCAAACACAGCCCAAAGATTCTGTACATTCATGCACTCGAACGTTCCCTATACAGTTTGATATTAGATGTTATACTGTAGAGACTTTATTAGTCTCTGTGGAATGTACTAGGATTACTGGAGAGCTTTACTGTGTTGGTAACTTTAAACAAATCCTTAAATCCGTATTTTTGCTAATTGCTCCGAGAGATTCGGACCAGAATAGATTGACTAAAGAATGACAGTCTTTGCATCCGGATCATAAGAGATTTCACCATTAAAGCATGGATTTAGAAGACTGCAAGAAGAATATGTTAACAAAATAAATGTTGATTAAACTGATATAGAAATGAGAGTTGTGTAGATAATAAAAAATTAAAAAAAAACTACACTATGTAACTTTTGACCCTCTAGCAGTTGAAGCATCAAACTACAAGTTACATGCGGAGGAACAGTGTTTTGGTAATTAGGTGAGTTGTGCTTCGGCTCTGTCAGTCTATGCGGATGATTCCGATGGCTTGAGGCACAACGTTGTACTTACTGTTACAGAAGATCCTATGAATGTAATTAAAGGGTTAGTTCACCCAAAAATGAAAATTAGGCTGCGTTTTACTCACCCCCGAGGCATCCTAGGTGTATATGACTTTCTTCTTTCAGACGAATCCAGTCGGAGTTATATAAAAAATTGTCTTTGATCTTTCAAGCTGTTTAATGCCACTCAGCGGGTGTTGCATTGCTTCAGTCCAAAAGAACTTAAATAAAAATTGGCCATCCATAAAACAAAAGTGTCTCACACGGCTCCGGGGGTTGAACAAAGGCCTTCTGTAGCGAATCGATGGATTTTTGTAAGAAAAATATCCATATTCAAAACGCTTATATGGCTCTATTGTTTAGACTTGTAAAAATATTTTTTTATATATAACCTTACAAAAGTTTGGCATGGCTGACATTGGATATAACCATGCCAATTGATTTCAGATAAGGTAAAATGATGGATATTAGTAACTAGTTATTTATAGGCAAATAAATGATAAACAGCCAGTGCACAACAAATAGGATGCTATGCAAAGTATGTTGATTCCTGTTTTATTATGGGCGCTGTAGCTTTTTGCTTGTAAACTCTTCAGTTTGAGGTTAATTTGTTTTGGCTTCAGGGCAAATCCCACTGCTTGTAGCAGTAGCACCCTTACCTTTATTTACAAACGTGACGAATGACGGAAGTATGCCGTTTCCTGCTAAATCTGTCAGACAGCTCTAAAACACAGTGTGTAATGTTTTTATGATGTACTCGCTCATTATTTAAATCTTACTAATTTCAAACAAAAAAAAAGTTTAATGTCATCTTTAATTGCACGGAGTCAAGCTTGTTATCATGTTAAATTTGCCATGAATGTGCAAGACTTCTGATTCATTAGTTTGTTATTAAAGAAAGAGACCACACAATTTAAATAAACTGTGGTGTATTTAGAGATTACTGGTCAATGGCAAACATATCAATGATTACAGTGTTACTAAAAGAAAAAAAAGTATACAGTCAGTATAAATATAAACATCTTTCCACTTGTGGAACCTTTTAATCGAGAATGTGCGTCTTCCTGAGATCATCCTTTAGCACTTAATAAATTACTATATATTGCACAACCTCTGTTTAACAAACAATGAGAGCATAATAATAATTAATCTCCATCAAGGAAAATAATAAGCAAAGAGGTGCATTAAGACCTACATAAGCAGGTAAAAATAGGTGAATAAAATGATACATTCTTTGCAATAATGCATTCTCACATTCAGACATGCGCACACGTACTCTAGGAATGTCCTAAGCTGTTCTGGATCCCTATTGGAGAGCACTAATGATTGACAGCTACATGAACCTATGAGGCTGCTGACTAAATCTTAGGTCACACACCAGTGACAGATGATCAGAGGGATAATGATACGACGGAAGCCGGTCCGGCCCGATCTGCTCTTCGCTCGGTATCTTTAGCACAGCGTCCACCTGGAACGCTCTTTCTGAGTACCAAATGTAGTCCAAGGTAGAGCGGCTCTCTCCGCTGGGCCGGATCTTCCAGCTGGTGTAGGGCGGCTCTGTGTTCCCATCCTCACTTAGATACTTGTAAGCACTATCTAGCCCCAGAGGAGAAGTCATAAAGCGCCTGTACACTTCCTCACTTGGTTCCGCGTTAAAATCCCCACATACCACCAACGGAATACCATCTTCGGTTTCCCCAACCCTAGTCCGGTTTTCATCATCCACCTCCGGGTGCGACTGTGTGGTTAGTTCGCAGAGCTGCTGGAGGAGGTGAGCCCCCTGTGCGCTTCGAAACGCCTCCCAGCCGCTCCGCGCTTTCAAGTGTGTTACTGCCACGCAGAAGACTCGACCTGTGAACCTGCAGCGAAGCGTAGCCACGATAGCAACCTGGTTGGTTTTGAGCAACATGGCAGAGAGTCTGAGGTGAGCGGTGTGGAGCAGCTGGAAGCGACGGCGGTTGAAGAACAGAGCGCAGCCGTCAGGGCCGTTGTTATTGTGAACGTCCAGGCAGGGGGAGCATGGCTTGGGGCAGAAGCTGCTCTGGTAGCCCAAGCTGGCGAGCACAGGCTGGAAGGTGTCAAAGTAGTGGTCCACCTCCTGTAGACACAACACATCTGGCCTATAGGTCAGGATCTCTTCCAGAATGAGATACTTCCTCTCTGACCAGTTCAATGCCTCCATTGGGCAGCGCACAAAACCGTCCTTGCCTTCACCCAGAGCTGCAGATACACAAGAACATTTACGTCACGTTTTGGGCACCATATGGGAGCATTGCAGTGAAAGGTGAAGTGTCTTCAGTTTTATAAACATTAAGCAAGGAGTTTTTAAACTGGGGGCTGGAAGTGGGTGCTAGGACTGCCTCATAAATTCAGAAAAAATACAAATGTAAATACCAACACAATAGGTTAGCTTCAAATATATATTAGATATGTTTAAAGCGATCATTTTAAAATCATACAGAATTTGACTTTACATTCTTTATAAACACTGTCCAGAATTGTATTTTATTATTATTTTATGTATATTATTTTATGTATTTATGTGTACTGCCATTCAAATATGTCATCAGTATGATTTTCTTTTTAATCATTAAATTAATTTTAATTTTAATAAAATTAATTAATTTTTTTTAATTAATACTTTTATACACCAAGAGCACATTCAGTTGATCAAAAATTATTTTTGCACTGTTCTATTTCAAATAAATGCTGTTCTTTTGAACTTTCTATTCATCAAATAATCCTGAAATGCATCGCAATTACCACAAAAAATATTAAGCAGCATAATTGATTTCAACACTGACAATAATAAGTGTTTATTGAGCAGCAAATCAGCATATTAGAATGATTTCTAAATTATCATGTGACACTGACGACTGGAGTAATGGTTGCTGAAAATTCAGCAAAGGAATAAATTACATTTTAAAATATATTGAAATAAAAACAGCTATATAATTCATAATATTACTGTTTTTACTGCATCTTTTATTAAATTTGGAACTTGCAACTTGGTGAGCCTAAGAGACTAATTTCAAAAAAAAAAATGTAAAAATAATAATTTTTAAAAATCTTACAGACCCCAACTTTTAAACGATGGTGTATATTCATGTACTTAATGCTTTTTGGGAAAAGTTTTTAGTTTTTAATTTGCTTTGGCTTTAGTACAGTAGCAATATAAAAGTACATTATTTACTGAGAAAACATAATATCATGCTTATTTTTATTACACAGTAAAAATGGGTATTTATACATGCAAATATATAGCTGCCTTTATATTATAGGAAGGTGGTGGCATTAAAAAGCATAAAACCCCTGGTTTAAGTTACCACCTGTGAATCAACTATGAATCAAACACATGACATAAGCAGACAGACTCTGTACCTTGTGCTAAGATGTTCCACTGCATGACGCGGATGGGTGCGTTCTGCAGTGAGCAGGCTCTGGTCATCATAAAGTCTCGGTGCAGTCGAGGAGGCCGGTTCCTCAAAACCTCCTCGCATTCACGCAACAGCGCATCTGGGTCAGCCTGCTCATACTCGTAGTCATCAGTATCCACATGCGGGTCTGCCAGCGCAGCGTTGCTCAGAGTCTGGGCCAGAGTACTGAAGAGTCTACTACTGCTGCTGCTGCTGCTGCCCATCTGACACACTGCACACACACATCACAAAACATCTTATACACACTCTAGTATAGCTGTACAAGATTTTATAGAACTTTACAGATTCATAATAATTCATCAATGTTTATTATCATAAAATCTTAGTATAGTACAGTAGTATAGGGTATATATATATATATATATATATGAAAAGTTTTCTATGACAGGCCTATAGCATGATATGATGCAGAAACTGCTTGTCACTCACTTGTACATAGTATGAAAGACGACACGACATACTTTCTACAAAACAAACAGCAGCCAATGATATAAATAGTAGCGGTGCAGTACACTGTGTATGAAAATATAAACAGTACTATGACAGCACATGGTAGCTATTTAAAGTGCAGATGAATTAGGTCTGTTTGTTGTTGTTCATAATGTGTA